CTGTAAAAAAAAAACGAGAAGTGTAAACTTAGCTTATACAGTGAATGATTCAGATGTGACTACTACTCATATCATATATAAATATCCAAAATAAGAACAGAAAAAAATAGAATATTAACTAATTGTAATTTAATTTTAAATCATAAAAACACTTAAATGCTTAAGTATTGATCATGTAAATGTCAAAACCATTTGAAATTCTACAATACTTGTAATTAAAATGGAAAATAAAGATGTTTTAACAGTATGAAAGCAAGTAAATCATTCAAATTAGACATCAAATTAGCATAAAATTCAACTGTTGAATAATGAATGAAAGAAACTTATATGATACTGTAAAAAATTTTTATATTAATTAGTTTTTTATAAGATGCTTGCTCAAGCAACTACTGTATACAACTTTATGAAGTAATTATATATATTAATAGTTACATAACTAACAAATTATAAATTGAAATACAGTATATATATATATATATATATTCTAAAGTCTACTTGCTTATCGACTTTTTTCTGATAAATAAAATATTAACATTTGACTTAATAATATTCGCGACATATTCGTAAATAAGTTATAGAAAATTCTATCAAGTCGAATGTGATNATATATACACAAAGCCATTTCTATACTGTTTCATAATATATACGATGCAAAAAATATTAATTGTGTTGTAATTAATATTTTGCATAATTTAAAAATAAAACACAGAAACTTTTATAACCAACTGACGCTAAAGTTAAAACAGAATAATTTAAAAATACAGTAAAACCTGTCCGAAACGAAACCTCGATAGAATAGAAACTTGCCAAACTAGAACAAAAATATTCGGTACTGTACATTTCCAGTTTACGCAGGTTTTACTGTATATTAAAGCAATAAAAATGATATTTCTGTTGCTTTATTTAACAAAATATATGATTGGTAACCAAACTGACCTTTCGTACATTTCCAGCACTACCAATTATATATTAGTTCCAGCTTTAAAGAAGAATTTTTACAAAATATATGTACATAAAAATCATTTTATCTAGAAAATAATTATAAATAACCATTTTTTTCCAATATTGCCCATAAATTCAATTTTATAAACGTATAAATTGACTGTCGAATAGCCAATAAAAGGTGTCGGCCTGCTACTCTGGAAACCTAGACTCGAGCCGGGATCGGTATTTCGACTTTTCATGGCTAGTTTGACCCAAATATGCCAGATCCCATTCCATATCACTTGGTCATTCTCATGTATTTGGCCAAATTGATAATGAGTACACAGAACAATTTTTTTCTTGTCTGTTATGTAAAAATAATCAGTTTTTTTAATGTTCACTGCAAGGATTTATAAGGATAAAGTGATTATAAATAACAAATAAATTGATCGTTAAACACTACATTTAACATTTTAATTTATTAACGAATCTTCATCTTCGGCATGTCGTAATCTGTATAATTCGAAATTATTTTCAATGCGTTAAATCAAAATATTTATAACTGGATACAGTTTTCTAACTGGAATTTTAAACAAACAACTGTACTATTGAAACTAATGTCTACAAATGCAACAAAATATCATTTTAAACAGTAAAAATTAATCTGTAAACATTAAAAAAACTCATATATTTATGTTTTTAAAATCATTTTTTAAATGTTTGTAAGAATAAAAATCTCGGCTCTTAAAAAAAAACTTCTAAATATAGATAAGAGCTTTAATCAGCAAGGATGATAATTTTTTTTATAAGAAAAATAACAGATACAGATATAGAATATCACATTTCAGGCATTTTAATCTTATAATTTATATAATATATTGCTCAATATTATCAAATTATAATTATAACTATTTATTTTTCTTAGTACAAACCTTATATACGAGTTTTCTATCCACTCACCCGCCGAAAAATATAGAGATATTTCTCGATCTCATCATGCGCAAGTCAGTTTTTTTTTTTTCCACGTAAATAAAAACAACTTTAACTATTCATGCTGACGAATAAATAAATTAATTTGTTTCTCGAGCAATGTTTTAATATTCGAATAATATTTTTATTAAGCTATTATAAATTATTAAAATATCATTATAATTACTATGCATTCACCAGTTTTAATAAAATAATTTTATTATAATTCCTCGTATGGATGACGAGATACATTCGTTAAAATGACAGTTGCAATCTTTAATATTATAAACATCTGTTAGTCATTTGGAAGAATTAAAATTCTTGTTAATTCTATTTCTTTTTTCCCTTCAAAGTATCGTAATAAATATAACAACATAGAAGAAAAATAGGTTTTTTTTAAATCAAAAGAACTGAATTTTCACTCATAAGATATTATAATTAATAATTTAAAAACTAAATTTCCTGAATTTAAATTAAAAAACAATAACGGAATTAAAATTTTATTAAATTTAGCATTAATTTACAGTAGACCCCCCATAACACCGTAGATAATTCCGTGTTATATGAATTCCATGTTGTACGAGTTACTTATATTTTACAAATACGTGTGCTGGGGTGTGAACGGCTCATGCATTTGTAAAATCTAAGTGACTCGTACAACATGGAATTCATATAATACGGAATTATCTACAGTGTTATGTGGGGGTCTACTGTATGTTCTATGATTAGGCTTTTTTGGAGTTTAGTTGCCAAAACTGACGAGATGAACAGATTATTTGTTAACACTTGCACACAAAATTATAAACATTCAAACCTTGAATCCAGTAACAAATCAGGATTAAACGTTTGGAAATCCGAGATTCCATTTGCAAATGTTTAACCCGAAGCTGGTCTTAGAAGTAGACCGAAAGCCTTTGTTACTGAATTTAGGACAGGAATGGGGAACCTATGGCACACTTGCCCAAATGGACATGTTGGGAGACATCATCTGGCACATAACGTATCGTACAATTTTGGTTTATCATCCGATCATCCTTTCTCTTAATTGGTCTCTTTAATTTTACTCTAATTAAAGCATATTCATTTCGTTTATTTAAATATTGTTATTGAAAGTCTAAAATTTCGACGCACAAACATTTTTAAAAATAAGTATGCTTACCATATGGCACACGGACTCGAAAGAGGTTTGCTATCCCTGTACTAGGATAATTCAAGGTTTGAGTGTACTGGTTTGGTAGAAAACCAAACTCTTTTACACTTGCACGTACCAATAAAGTATATTTTTAGGTTTTACTGTGTTCTAAAGTTAACATTTAATTTTAAATTTACATTCTATAACTGAGAATGATTGTACCATGACCAAAAATATTACCGAGCAAAGAATAAATCCCAGTTTATTGAACTAGGAAGTTTGGTCTCTTAAACTATGACAGTGCCAAGTTTCACACATTTGTTTGACAAGTATTTAAAGTCAAAATATAGAAATTCAAAGACATTAAAGTATATAAATATATGTCAAAATGTTTTGAAAAATTTTATTTATTAAGTATTTACTGTATCAAAGTCCCTTTTAAATAAATAATTTAAAGTGAAAAGATATTTGTATATTTTTTTAAATTAAAATAAACATTGTTAGACAAAGCTAAAATGCATTTAACATGTTTATTTAATTAATATTATTGAAGAGGTTACTTTGTTTCAGAGATACAAAAATATAATTTTATATTTTTAGCTTGTTTCTTTCAATTTGTTGAAATTCATTTTGTAAGAAACTTATTAAGATTAATTTTAGAAGCTTTTTAATATCAAAAATAATAAGAGGTTACTTCAGAAACTTCTAAAATAAATATCTAATCTCTCTTACATTATTTTATTTGTATAAAATTATAATATTTTAAACAGAAATTTACCGTAAATTCTTTAATTAGCAAGTCATTTATAGAATAAATCCTTGAAGTAACAGTAGCATTTCGAAAAGCATTCAATATCTTTCGAGCCAATCTGTTCCAAAATTAGCAACAGACGGTACACCGAACAGCGAAATATTCGAATAACTTAAATTATTATATCGCCACAATCTCAGACATTAATTTTATATAAGAAAAACAATTTATCATTACAATAAGCAGCTAATCAACGCACGATGATAAAATTTTCGATATCTGCATTACAGAATCAAAGATGCGACCTGTGCCGATTACAAAGACGGGATCTCATCCCTCTCTAAAAGCATACAAATGTATGAATAAAATCAATCAAAACAGATAAATTATTTGTGAAATTTTTTACATAATACGGAGTGAATTTTGAGCATCCGTGCCAAGTAGTCTCACCCGTCAACCCTTCTATCTGAGCTCTCTAATGCACATCAATAGGGTTCATCGATACACAGTCGGGATGTAGATATAAACAATACATAATATTCTAGATTTGGAAAAAAAATGTTCTTTAAAGCTGCATATTCTTAAACACTAAAACCGACACACAGTAGGCATGTAAATATCATACAAAATATTGTAGATTTGGAAAAAAATGTTCTTTAAAGCCCCATATTCTGAAACACTACAACCGACTCACAGTAGGCATGTAAATATCATAAACAATATTGTAGATTTGGAAAAAAATGTTCTTTAAAGCCGCATATTCTGAAACACTACAACCGACACACAGTAGGCATGTAAATATCAAACAATACACATGAAAAAATGTTTTTTAAGGCCCCATAAACTCTTAAAACACTACAATTTTGTCTTAGTTATTTAAAGTGTTAACCATGTCAATAAACTTTGTAATCAAGAAATCCATGTGAAGATATCCATATTTAATCCATATCAAAAAAAAAAAAAAAAAAAAAAAAAAAAAAAAAAAGGAAACTTTATCAGCTATTCTTAATCAAAGCAGCTGATATTTTCCAATCACAAAGACATTTCTGATTTAATTAAACAAAAAAAAGACATCAGTCTATATGCTAAATAACACTTCTATAATTCTTGAAAAACTTATTTTTCTATACAGTGACGTCACGTGACGTGTAAAAAGAAGGCAAACAAACAAAAACTTCTCACGACTTATAGAAAAAGTACTTTTAAAAAATCAGTTACACTTACTTTATATTTCGATTTAATCTTTTATCCAAATGGGAATGTTTCATGCATGAGTTAAAATATGGGACTTTTCTTTATTGTAACTGTCACATTGGAGGTTACAACGTCGCCTTTGTGACTTAAGAAAGTCACACGGGTACACACTAGACAACACACACAATCATCATCTGCCTCTTCTGCCGTCACACATAACCGGAAGTTACGTCTACTCCGAACAAGTTTACGCATTTTAAAAAAAACACAGCATATACACGGTACGGGAAAACACAAGGAAAAAAATCATTTAAAAACAATAATTTTTCGTAATTTAAGTGAAATAATAATACTAAATGTTTCTCCTTAAAGAAATTAATTAAATTGTTTTAATGTGTTTGCTATTTTAAAAAAAATATAGGAATTTTTTTTAGTTTTTCGTTCCGTTTTGTTATTAATTTTATATTATATTTTACGTAATTAATAAGTATTAATTGTTTATTATGTTTTTATAATCGTAATTTTGATATTTTGTGGTATATTTTTTTATAACAGATGGCGCCACGTTTGAATGTTAGGTTGCCACGTGTTAGTTTTGTGAAGTTTCGTTTGAGGGCAATATATTATTGCAGACAGGAAACATATAAAACGAGTAAAAATACAAAATTTTTTTTATTCATCAAACACAGGTTCTTTAAAATGATTCCAACTTACAGACTATTGGGTTCGTATACATACAATAATCGTCTACACAAACAAGCCTCTATTGTGGCAACCGACACACGACTTATAGCTAAACTTAACCTACTTACAAACTAAGGAAGGAGAAATAAAATATAGATAGGGATAGTAGTAGAATAAAGGAGAAAATACCCGGGAGTTTTCTGCCACGTGGTCTCGGATGATTCACCGTCTTGAAATTCTTAATGACTGCAGACCTTATTTTCTTTCCTCTTATGAACGTCTACGTTTTCTGAAGTTGTCTTGTGGTCTTCCCGCTTGCCGTTACTTGAACATGGGGGAACTCGATTTCTTTAGCAATTGCCCTACGTTCCTCTATAATTCAGCCGTCTTACAAGGTTCCGATACCTCTGATCTCTCACTATGCGATCAGGGTATGATCCTCCTTCGGTTTTCTATCGCAAGGTTTCTTACTTCTTGCTCGACCCCTCGGTCAGGACCACACTCGTTTTCGTCCTCTCTCGACGAAATCGCAGCCACTTCTCCTTTCTTTCACCTCGCCTCCTCTCCAGGGGGTTATTGCTCCTTTTGTCTTCTTGACATTGTTTCACAGAATCGGTGATGTCACCCGAGGGAATAGGGATTAAGGGAGAAAGTTCTAGAACAGTTAAGACAAAAGAACAGAGGAAATAGTAAGCCTAACTAAAATTAACAAAATATATATAAAACTATGGCCGACGGCCACAGTAGCAGTCTACCGCTCTAGGGGACCAGATCGATCTGGACGGGTCGAAAAAAATCTCCAGGAATTTTTCAGGGATGGTCTGTCCTGTTATATCGGAATACGTCCCTCACTACTTGGCCACCCATTGTGAGCCAGGCTGAACCCATAACGGACTTACTTTTTAAAAACACTTTCCGCCCCGTGGACACTAACGAGCCTTTTTAGCAAGCCTACTATGGGGCAGCCGGGTGGTGAGGGTCGAGATTCGGAAATTTTTCGACCAGTCCGGATTCTATTCCGGGTTCCCCACAGCGGTAGGATGCAATCTTGACCGCTCGGCCATCGGCCACTAAAAAGAAGCACCTTAGTGACCATACGGCCGAAATAAAAAAAAATTATCAAAACTTATTTTTACGTATAACGGAATTAATAAAAATAGTAATAATTTTATTCATGTTATAATTATATAAGAAACATTAATACATTAACAATTATGAAATTAACACACGATATCCAAACCGGAAGTATTTATTTTTTTCCACTCGACAGAAATATCCCCGCCGCCGCCGCCAGGAGTCGCTAGATGCCTATCAAAAATGGCGCTCAGCACGAATGGAAAGATAAGTCTATATTGCTTCTGTTTGACGTTGACAGTTGTGATTTTGCCAATATTTACGTTGGTAAACAGAACTATAGCATTAGTAATAACAGACTATTGGTTGACAATAAGTATTATTTATTCGGGACTGTTGCACGGATTACTTTTCTACATTTACAAACCGAGAGGATACGCGTATAAGGTGAGGCGTGGTTTTTTAAATTCGATCAAAATTAAATTACCGCGCGGTTTAAATTTTTAATTATAATATTCAACCGCGAAATTGGGCCTTGTGGCTTGTCACGAGGAGTCTCCCGCCATCTTTGATGTTTCGTTTTATATTCACCAATTGAATTGATTTTTTAAAATAAATTATACTTTCTGCTTTGGTTAATTAATTGTAAAGTTTAAAGGTATTTAAGCTAAGAAATTGAAATGCAACCGTTTTATTAATTAATGGAGAATATTTCCAGATGTATGAGTAATATTCTTTGTTAAGGTGTGTAAGAATGGTCACAAATTTGTGTTTTAATTAGAAGTCCACGTGCTTTCCTTCATCATCATCTGGCATTCCTGATATTTTAAGATTTTTGAATAAAATTACAGCTTTGAGTGAGGCAATTGGGACCTTTTCATAGACTGTGACTGTAGGAGTGAAAACAATCAAAGCAACTCTCCCTCAAAGTGTGACTCTATGTGAGATACATCTTGAAATTGTTGCATTGTGTCGCACGCTCCTCTAAGGGTGCGTTTACTTTTAGCTCCGATCTCACCCCTAGCGCGCTTGATCTGTATACTTTTTGTTAACTACCAATGAGCACGGTGTTTGCTTTTTGCACCCGTGATGTCATTGCAAGCATTCCTAGCGTGCTTGGAGAATTTACAATGAGCTTGGAGTTTGTTCAAAGATGGCAGCGTCCATTACTGTGTATACTTTTACGAGCATGCTAGTGTGATATCGGGCTGCGCTAGGTGGTTGGCAAGCTTGGATGCTAGCAAAAAGTAAACGCACCCTAAGAGTTGTGTTTAACTATTCAGCCAATGTGACTGACGGGCTTGAGTAGGCCACTTGATTGTTTGTGGAGTGTTCGGTTACATACTTGTAGTTTTAGGGGCTGTGAGGGACGTCCCCGTGCGGGAGCCGAGATGCAAGGGATAACAAGCACCGAAGCACGTGACTGCGTGTTGGTTGTGATGAGCAATAATGAGTCTTGACTGACACGAAGCACGGAGAATGGGGTATGTGGTAAAAATTGACCTTTGAAGATGAACGTCTTGTGAAGTGTTGCACATACAGATACGGTTCCTTTGACTACTCTTCACAAGGTAAAATTTAAAAGTGAAAAAAAATTCAGAACTATTTCTCAAAACAATGCTTAAAATCAACTGTTTTCCACTTTACTAGAGACAGCTGAAAGCTCGTAAACATGAGAAATACCATTTTTGGGGTGCTGTCAGAGTTGCTTTATAGGGGTGTGATAGCTGATAGGGTTGCTTTATAGCTGATTTCAGGAGGCCTACATATTTCAAAGGATCACATTTAGACTATCAGTTCCTTTGACTTTTTAATCTTATGGGCACAGTTTATGGCTTTGAAAAGCTTCCAACTGCCTCACTTGGAGCTCAATTTTATTGAATTTTGGCTATAGTTATAGTCCTAAAATGCTGGATAAGGGTCCACAAATGTTTTCCTTTTACTTAATCTGTTAGTTTTCTTAAAGTAGCTTATTTGTACTTTCTTCTTTAAAGTTAATTTAAGTACATAACTTCAATTGTAGATATTTCTTATTGAAGTTGTTTAGATCAGGGTTGTGTAACCTTTTGGCTTCTTTTAGCCACATTTGAAGAAAAAAATTGTCTTGGCCACATATAAACTATAAAACTACATTTAAAGGTGACACAAGTAGATTTGCCATTCTAGGCCAAAACAAAATGATTAAATAATTTTGTAGTCTAAAAAGTAGCCATTTTGCCAAATGATTTTTTGTGCACAAAACTACTAAAAAGAGAGTAGCCTATTTTGGCACAAATTAGCTGAATCTTTTCATTGGATGTACTGTACATAATATGCATATAATTTCTGTTGTCACCGCTTGTGAACCTTGCTGCACTAATTCTACGGCAGCTAACTTAAAGCTGAAATGGTGTAACTGTCTTTTAACAAAGTGGCTTTACTAGGAAAGGCACCCAATGTATATTTTTAGACTTGTTATAAGTGTATACTAATGGCATTTTGTGACGATTTTTAAAAAATTCAAAAAGTAAGTACATAAAGATCTCAATGTTTTAATTTTGCTTTTGCCCCAACGAAGAAAAGCATCACGAATGATCATTGGGAAATAAATAAGAGAAAATACAATATCATTCCCTCTATACAGGAGGAAGAATCCTCTGAGGTAAAGAAACCGACTCCTTTCAACCAAAAAAACGCTTCAGAGTTTAAAGGACATTTTCTACGATGCCAGCAGAAACATATGAAATGATATTCTATGCAAATTTAGAGGAAGCAGGAGAATATGAAAACAGAACATCTAGGAAGAAATCTAAAGCAGTGCTGTCCAACCTGCGGCCCAACATAAAATCATAAACTTCTTTAAAGGCAAGGAAGATCGGGATATGACAATCAAGATAGTAATGGTTAGGAAGGAGTAAAAATAGAGGAGGACCTAAGAGAAGAGATTTGAGTTTTGAAAACAATTGATAATAGCTATAAATTTTTATTATTTGATAAAATATTCATAGTAATCTGCTTAATAATTTTGTTATCTGTGTAAATATTTTATTTTTGATTAAAATGTTTGTTTTTCTTTCCTTTAAAATTGCTTTGATTTCATTTCTTTACAAAAATTTTCAGTCAATTAATGAAACGTAAGCTGCAAAATGATTTTTATATATTTTTTTTGTTTCAAATATAAAACAGTAATATCAACATGTATGGGCTTTTTGAATTTTGATTGATTTATTTTCAATCAAAAATATAATAATTTTATAAGCTAATCATACGAGGCAATTGGGACCTTTTCATAGACTGTGACTGTAGGAGTGAAAACAATCAAAGCAACTCTCCCTCAAAGTGTGACTCTACGTGAGATACATCTTGAAATTGTTGCATTGTGTCGCACGCTCCTCTAAGGGTGCGTTTACTTTTAGCTCCGATCTCACCCCTAGCGCGCTTGATCTCCAGTTCCCTGTAAAAAGTCTTCCTGGGAGGTATTCCTCCTCTGGCGCGTTGTGTTGCTGTATACAAATAAAAACCAATTAACAGTTAATTTAAATCTATGTTAAAGTTGCAATTTTTAACTAACTTTTAGCAAATAATATTCATATCTTATATTAATTTTTAATGAATTTTCTGTTAATTTACATATATTCAAATTTAAATAGTCTTAATTAAATTGTTATTAACCACCAGCTCGGTATTTAGAGAAATTTCTCGGTCTTGCTGTTTTAAATAATAAAATCGTCAAAATTACGCATCAATAGTTAATGTTTATGATGCTTCTTCACACTAATCTTATCCATTATTTTCTGGTTAGAATGGGTTGACAGCTGGCTGGGGCAAGTTAAGATAGTGGCCTGCCACTCTGGGAAACCCGGTTCAAATCTGGCCAGTCGAAAAACCCAGAAATTTTACAGGGATGATCCGTTATCACACCACACACCATTGTGAACCTTACCAAACTCATGATGGTTATGATTAGAAGGCCGATAGAACATAGAAGTGCCAAACTCTTAGTGTCCATATAGCTGGAAGAGTAGAAAGAAATGTGTTGCATTGTAAACTGCTATATGGAATCTTCTAAAATTTAGATATTATAATATTAAATATAAATTTTGACACCTATGTTTAGAACAAAAAAATATATCAGGTTAAATTTTGTGTGCGTGATGTGTACCTACCTTTTGTGTGTACATGTTTACGAGATATTAAAATCTTGAATTAATAAACAGGAGAGTTTATTAATTTAAAATTACATAAATTAATAATGAGTACGGAGAATTTGTTTTGATTAGTGCGACTCGTTTACTCGTTAGATGTAATGTTTGCTTTATATGGTATTTGCAAAACAGGAACGAATGAATCAAAGTAGAACACGAGTCTTTGTTATAAAATTATTAATTATTATTATTTTATTTATTTATAATTAATCAATTATTTAATTTCTAACTTGAGTTTACACCATTTTTATTTATTCATTTTCTAGTTTCGCATTTTATTTTTAAAGAATTCCAGTTTATTATATGTAATATACTTTCTCACTACATTCTAAATCTAGTTTAAGTATGAACCAGTAAACCAGTTTGTAGTGGACCGTACCAGTTTGACAGGGGCCATGTGTGTGTGTGTTATTTATTCCGTGCGACATAGTTTCATTGAAATTCTCTAGTTTATATTACTAAAACGTTTTTTGTTACAAAATAAAAATAAATTTTACAGACTAAAATATTATTCTCATTACGGTTAACTCTGATATTATTTATTTATATATTTTTAACAGTTTACTTTCCCCGAAGGGAGTGACGTCTCTAGCTGCGTACCAAAAAATTATGCCCAATATCATGAAAATAATTATTGTACTGATAAAAAAATAAATTAATATACCGAATAAATAATATAAAAATAACAGATTAAATATATTTTTAAAAGTGTACAATAAACAGTTTAAAAAAAAAACTTCTGTTTTAAAGACAAATAAGGTGCATTCTTGCTTATCAGCTTCTTAATATTACTCTAACATATTTAGTAATTTTTAGAATATCTGCTGAAATTATGAAGATTGTCGCACGGAAATTTTCATTTAAATAATAACGAATATCAAATTCTCGCGTATTATTAGAGAGGTTGAGGCAGACGTTTTAAACGTGTAGGTCGGATGTTCGGCGCCGCTTTCCCGTAAGCCTAAAAGTTTGACAATGGTGTTTGGATAGTCGGTGGAATCATGCTCGACATTCCAAACACCATCGCCAAACTTCTAGGCTTACGGGAAAGTGGCACCGAACGTCCGTCCTACACGTTTACACATTTAAAATGTCTGCCTCAACCTCTCTATTGTGTAACACGTAATTTTTGAACGATTAAAAAGCTTTTCCATTGTTTAAGTTTTTAATAATGGTTAAAACAATGCTGGAAACAAATTAAGCACACGACTTGTGTTTGTGTTTGATACCATTGATACACGTGCATTTTAGAAGCATGTAAAATGACCTAAAGATCTCATAGAATTTCCAAAAACGATAGATTATCTCAGATAATCTTGAAACACTTGCTTCACTTGATTCTATCTGTGGCCGTTCAGTGAAGTTATGAGAATTTTAAGTGCGATCTTGTAATTCTGTTTGGATTAGAGAGCTGCTGGACCATCAAGTATTGAAAAGTCTATGGTAAACCTGTATTTAATAACTATACATATAGTATTATTAATATACAGTGAAACCTGCTAATGTGACCACCTGTGTAAGATGACCACTTTGAGCTTGTTAGCACATTAGCAGGTTTTATGTAATTTAATACTATTCATAATATTATGCCATAATATAAATAATAATAATCCAAAATCATTCAGATCATTACAGATATGATTACTTTTCAATATTTTCTTTAAATTATATTTAATAATGTTTGTATCTAATCATATATTATTATTAATTTTATTTTTTTTCATTACAGGTTGCTTGGAGAGCCGGTCTCTTAGGGTCTGGTTTTGGTATTAGTTTCCTCATTAGCATCCTTGCGAGTTCTTCGTGGAATGTATTCGGTTGGTATTTAATATTGTTAACCTTCTTCCATTACTCGGAATATCTAACGACCGCAATGACAAACCCGAAGTTCCTCAGTTTGGATTCATTTTTGCTAAATCATAGCAAAGAATATGGCATAGCTGCATTCGGAAGTGTAGTTGAATTTATGATTGAAAGATTTTTGTATCCAGGTAATTAATTGTAACTGAAAATCAATTTAGTATAGAATTTATTCTTATATTCAAATACATTCAAATATTTTTTTAACCTGATATATAGAGTGCTTAGTAAAATCCTTATACACCTGTATAACTGATGAAAGTAGATAGCTAGTTATGAATGTGGTGTATAATTATAGTAAAATGACTGTCTTGCAAAATGAATTGTTTGCAGGGCTCCTGTCTTGATGCATTATATGAGAAAAAAAAGTCAATTACAAAATTAGAAACTTGTAAAGCATGATCGATTTAGTACAGAAGGACATGCAAATACAAAAACATACATGAGTAAGCATGAATAGAAAGTGCGAAATACTAATATGTCAATATTTGATTTTCCTCAATGCTACATCACTAATTGTGTCACAAAGCTGCAAATCGTGAAGTAGGAAACAGGGCATATTGTTGCGCAGCTTTTCTTGCTTGATGGTCATAGTCACCATATAATAGCACCATCTTGCAATACTTATTGAAATAATTTGCCATGTTTATGGCTAACAAACAGTTTCACTTCTCATGATTAGTGATATAGCATTGACAGGAATCAAATACTGACAAATTAACATTTTATGACAAATTATAACTATAATTATATGACTATAGCTATCTTTGTTCATGTCCTTACACACCTATGTAACTCATCGGTATGTAAGGACTTTAATATGCACTCTCTATAAACCTGTCTTCATAGATGACTATCATTGTACATTGGTTCATGCAAATCAAATAGAATATTATTAATTTATAAGCTAAATTTTTAATTTCACGAGATTCTTCGTAATCAAACAAGCAACAAACTCTCACAGGATCCTTCTTAAATTTTATATGAAATAAAAATTTTGAATTTAAGAAGCATCCTGTGAAAGTTTGTTGTTTGCTTGTTGTTTGATTACGAAGTATCCCGTGAAATCAAAAATGTTTTCACCAAGAATAAAACATGACAGGATCATTAATAATAAATCAACGTATGAATTACCTGAGATAGGTTTTGCATTAGCTAGAAAGTTAGAAGCAAATGGTTATAGCAAGGTGAATTGGCATTTTAGACTTGAATATTTCAGAATTTTGCCCGAATGTAGACCAATGTAGACGAATGCTAGTTTGATCCTCCTGTTGATTTCTGGAAGTAGTGAGCCGGATTTGGGTATTACTTGTCCCAGATTTGAAAGTAGGGAATGCATTTATGAAATTAAATTTTATATATTAAAATCTTTGAATTTAAGAAGAATCCTGTGAAAGTTTATAAGATAAATTGTTAATGTATATTGTTAAATATTTAACATGATTATCAAATGAAAATGGGATGTGCAAAAAACTTGCTGTGTCATGAGATGCACTTAGATTAGAAAAATTTATTTACTGAAGGTTACAGAATGATGTATGAAATTTTAAATTGAATAAGAAAATAAATTAATCTAAAAAAGTAACAGACAACACTTACTAATAAGGACAAAATTTGATTATTTTCAGAACTATGCAAATAAAACGAGCAATTATTTATTTTGACTTTGTAACAATGCCAGGCTGCAATTTTTGAGGCGTGTTCGCTGCCTCAAATTAATAGTGACTTGTCCCTGTACAGTACATCATACTTTTCCTTTAACAACAGTTATGCCAGTTATTTCTCTAACACCTTTCAGGGGAAAATGTTTGAATTGAAATAATGTGACTTCCAGTTTTCATAGGAAGTTTGTATATAGGTACTTGGGAACTAAATCATGTTTGAAAAATTAATACTTTTACATAGTATTTGAAAAATTATTGTGTGATAAAGAATTTAAGTAGAGTCTTAATAAAAGTGAATTTGCATACAATATTGCAGTTTCTCCAACAGCAAATGCTAGAAATGCTCCTCAGAAGTCCTGAAATCCAATGGAATGAGGTCTGCAGTCCTAGAGGGCCAGATTCCACAGGAGATTATGCAATAGGTGAAGAAATCTTCCAGAAACTATAATAATCTGCGCAAATTCAGTAACGGAGATAGGTGCAGGAGAAGAATACTACTGAATTTGAACAGACTCATCCACAACAATCGGGACAAATTTTCCATTTTTGAGAAATTGGGGGTCTATATGGTACTGTTGGAGAATCCTGTAATGGGGATGAATACGAGGTACATTGGGGCCACAACAAAAATGCTCACTAGCTGCCTAGCTAAACACCAGGAGGATGTGGTGAAAGGAAAGTGCACCACAAAGCTGGTGAAAAAGGTGCTCAAACAGAACTACAACTTGTTATGGGTCCAAACAACAATTCTCAGATGCTGTAGCGACTGGAAGCTTGTCTTTATATGCGAGTCTCTCCTCACAACAACCCCAGAACCACGCAATACTCCCACTCTTGATTTGTGCAACATGTGGGTTGCCCTACACAAACGGTTAAACATCGGCTGTCACACTGTTAATGTGGACCTGCATCCACGCATGCACCACATCACATCGTATGTATAACATTGTATGCATAACATCGAATGTATTCAAAATTTGTAGCTGGCTTTAATTTAAATACAAAAATTTTTGTTTAAATAATATGCATTCGATTCTCATTAGAACATTTGTGTTCGATTTTAAAAGGTTTTTATTCACCTGACGACGACAAAAATAGATTTGTTGAAAGCACTAGCAATAAAAAACTATAAATAATGAATTTTCCTTCTTGCTAAATTTATTTAATATTTGGTGTGAGGATCCATCCAGCTGTATTGTAATTTTTTTATATCTTTTAGAAATGAAACAGATTTTATGGCTGAGTATACCTGGACTATTACTTTGCATCGGAGGAGAAATTATTCGTAAGGTTGCCATGTTTACAGCGGGGACCAATTTCAACCATATCATACAGAGTCACCGAGAAGAAGGACACGTTCTGGTAGTTCATGGCATTTATTCCTTGTTTAGGCATCCGTCGTATGTCGGGTGGTTTTGGTGGTCGATTGGAACTCAGGTTTGTATATTTCTTATACTATAAACATTAATAAATATTATTATTCTAATGAAGAAACATTAAAACTATATATTACTTGATAAACCTTGCAAATTATCATGTTTTATGTTAATTTTTTCTGTGAGCTAGTGTGTTTCTACACTGTTGATGAGATTTGCTGTTGTTGACATTAGTACATTCACTTTAAACAGGGCAGCTATAATTAAACTTTCCCTCTTCAGAGCACTCTAGCTGCAACCAATAAGTGAACTGACATCAAAATGTGAATGATGCTAGGGAGCTACAGTAAATTACATGAAACAAAACAATGAAAATGCATTTATTCATCAATTAAATTAATTATTAAAATAATTTAATTCGTTATTAATTCACTGTTTGATTCTGATATAATTTAGCAATTGTTTGGTTTTAGAAGTTAAAATATTAAAACATTAACATTATATTGTCATTTAGTCTGACCATACTGGAGATATACATGTAACTCCCCATCCCCTGGACCTTTAACCACCAAAATTTAATAGCATCAATGCCCTTCATATACAAGCCACCAAGCCAAATTTTGTTACTTAATCTTTACCCCACCCTGAGATATTAAGCAAAATAAATGCTAACGTGTGTGTGCACACAAACACACATCCATGGAATTTTTTCTTTTTCTTTTTTTTTTTTTTTTTTTTTTTTTACTTGGATTGAGGAGGTGTTAGCACTCTAATGGTAGGACATACGAAAACACATACCTAATCACCTTTAAAGTAGGATCCTTCAGTACACAAACACTTTCCTCATTGATTCTGCCATTGTTGGAAGCACTGTTGGAAGACTTCTTTTGGAATATTCAGGAGTTTGGCCATCAAATTTGATTTGATATTCTCCACGGTTGTGAAATGCATTTTTTTGAGATCCATATTTATCTTAGGGAACAGCTGAAGTTCACTTAATTTTCAGAGTCTCGTTTTTCAGAAACACCTGAGAATTAGGTACTATTATTTGGACAAGGAGCTGTTTGTGTTTAAGGCTATGTGCTCACCAAGTTTTGTTCGAATCAGAGACATGAACGCCTGACTCTCTTGTTAGTAGTGTCTTAACTAGCTTTTGTTATTTTATTTTACTTCATTTCATTTAAAATTATCGAGTAATTGATAAATTTCTGCTATGTTATATTAGCGTGTTTGTTGAATAACATTACAGAGACCGAGTTATCCTGGAATGAGCCACAAATTTTGACTAAGAAATAGGGGATAATCTCGACATCCCAATTTATGAGAGATTTTTGAGTACAAGATATGCTCGTAAATCAGGTTGCACTGTGGTAACAAGCCAATGAAACTTGTAGCTCATTCTTTAGAGTTGAATTTAATGATGATTGGAAGCAGTTTTACATTGTTTTAAGATTAGTTTCTCACAAAACAAAATTGCAGTTGGCAAAAACTGATAGTTTGGCATTTACTTAAATTAATGGCAGAACAATAATTGTGAAAAATTGTGCCATAAAAGTATTTTTATTTTACATTTCTAGATGATTCTTTGTAATCCAGTATGCTTTATTGGATACGTTGTTGTTTCCTGGAGGTTTTTCAACAGAAGAATACTGGAGGAAGAAATAACTCTCTTGAATTTTTTCGGAGAAGACTATGTCAAATACCAGAAGAGGGTACCCACCGGTCTTCCATTTATCAGAGGGTACAGGTTGGAACTTTGAATATGTCGGCTATTAAAATGCATATTTTTTTTTGAAACGCTTTTGAAAAATTGGCTCAATTTTTCAGATACTCATGTTTCGTAAAGAATCTTGTATTGATTTGTGATGAATTAAGTAGTGCCTTTATAATGTTTAGAAGTTTTGCAAAATCATTGTTGCATTATTTAAGTGTCAAAACTAACATTTCGTGTTGTGATTCTCGGTAAGTCACAAGTAAAAATTTCGAAACGAATGTTTTTCATTACATTCAAAGAGCGTATAGTCAAAAATCAAAAACGTTTTTGGATCATGAGAAATTTTTCTATGGACTAACGGAGATTCTATGTGACTGTCAAATTATTTTAGAACGTACCGGCCTAGTCCGAAGGACCGAACGTTCGGTGCAACTAGATATTTCTGCGACAGGCTGCACGACTATTTACAATATCAATTGAAGAAGAGGAAAACATTGTAATAAAAACATTTTGTCCTAATTTTGCTTAGAAATGGCAAATGTAATTTTAAAGTGATGCAAATTTTAAAAGATAAAATGCTGTAAATAAAGCATAAAATTTGAGAATTATAAATTTTGTCTGAGAAGTTATGACATAAAATAAGTATGGAATGCATGTAGATACTTAGTTGGAGTGTATGCAACTATGGAGAACTCACAATTTTCAGAATTTCAAACTATACATTCAAATTGTAACATTGATCATGTTTTTGATGTGTTTTTCTATGATAAATGAATTATTGCTGATAGAATTTTGGATCCATTTGAAAGCGCAGTACATAAACTGTTTAGGTTATACACTACATTAGTGATGAGCAGCCATTTATTCTATACAATGAAAAATAAAATGTTTGCAGGTTACACATTGAATGATAATTTGTTATTTTTCAAATAAAATAAAAAATTTGGCTCATTCAGACTGGCGCGCCAGTGTGCCCTGCACTCAATTGTTGTTGTTGGTGACTAAATTTGGTGCGCGTTAGGTTTTTGCCTTCACGAGCACAAACTTTCAGTACAGTTTAGGGTGCACTAATGCTCCATCCTAAATGAGACATTAATGCTGTGGTTCTCAACCTTTTTGAAGCCTTGGAACACCATTCAGCAGAGTATTAGCATCAATATATTCAAAATTAGATAAACAATTCCATGTTTACCATTTTCTCAAAACAGTGAAGTGATAAATTAATAAAATAAATTTGCAAAAAACACTTTGAAATTTTTTTTGTGGAACCCGAGTTTAACGGAACTTGGGTCGAGAACCGCTGCTTTAATGAAACGATTATAATAGAGAAACAGCAGTGCCAGAATTAATAGCATGATTTATGTGAAAGATAACAATACAAGCCATTTTCTAATCTCGCATTATTGAGGAGAATTGTTTACGAATGTGCTGAGAACTGAAACTTGTCACTAGATAAACCGAGAAGCTTGCCGCTTTAAATTTTGCTGTAATTCTTCAAGTTTTAAATTGTAAATCGATAATCACAAGGACTACATGAAAAGCTTGAAAAAATGCTATGCATTCAGCAGGCTGTGGGTTGCCCATCCCTATGATATATGCTATATATATGTTTATTAGTCTTTAAAATATTTAAACAAACAGTATTCTAACAAAAGTTATGTAATTTTCACTAAAAAAAAGCTGGCATGGGTTCGAGTCCCGTTCCGAACGTATTTCTTCTAGAATAACCTAAAATTATAATTATTATATTTAACAAGAGATGGCGGACTGCTTCCTGCCATATTGCTTATTTATTATCCTTAATAGCCCAATAAAGGAATCTGCAGTTCATTTGATATTTTTCTCGTGAGAAGTTTGCACTCAATTATAAACTGAATTATTTTCATCTATGGCAATAATTATACCCATCATGGGGTCGTCAGAATAATGAGGAACGGACCTAATATTTCCGGAACAGATTGCCCATCAGAAGTTCCTGGGTTCTCTCACCCGAGGTTCACCAGTTCATCAGAATGGTAAGTTTGCAATTGTAGGGAAATTTGGGAATGAAACCGGGTGAGTTGGAAAATCCCAGCAGTTTTCTGGTCGGTGGTCTGTACCAAGAATTTTTTGGAGGGTGTTCCATCCTGGATTGGTTGTTGGGTCCTGATCCTCACAACCCAGCCATCACATTGAGAGTCTGATTATTGAACACTGGTTATGGATTTACGCCTCATCAATGGCTGGCCGTGTGGAATTTCAGGTTTTCTTCACATGTCTGATCTCAAAGCAGGTCGCCCACGTATTACGTTGCCTTATCCCACCAAACCAACCACGAGTAAATATTTCGTTTAATCCTCATAGTGAATATTTAATTTCTCTCAACCAGGCCTCTGCAGAATTTTTTTGAAGGGACCTCTTGCTTGTATATCCGGGAGCAAATCTCAATATATACCACTTAGCAACGTAAACATGGGGAAAAATCGTCCAGTCCCGATGCCAATATTCAACTTCCTGCTACCGGGGCCATAAATTTAGGCCTTCTACAATACAATACAAAAAATTCTGCAGAGGTGAAATTTAGACATTTCGATTTTTTTTTAGTAGAAAAGACTGGGAAAAATGTTACACTATTGACGACAACATTCTTCTGCAACTGATAGGCAATAATCCACGTTTGAACACCAGAGAATTCTCACCGTAACTCGAGTGCTCCCGTACATTCCAAAAGTTGACAAAAAGTCCAATACCATCATAACAATACGCCAACACACAGTTCAAATATAACCTTAGACAAGCTGGTCTGGGAGGTTTATCCACCTTAAAGCCCAGATTTAATGAGAAATAACTAGCTACCATGTATTTCGCGCCCCGCAGAACCATATTGCCAATATACAATTCAATAACAATAACCTATGCTGGAGACTTTCTTCAAGGACATTCTTTGCTGGATTGAAAGTTTGCAGCAAAGGTGGCGAGATTGATCTTGATAAAGATCACGGTTCAACCTTGTAATACCATTTCGTTTGAAAAAGGGCGAGTTTATAAACGTGACAGTCAATTTATAAATTTTCAAAAAAATTTTTTTTATTTGTCAGGTAAAAAATACAATAAAAAAAAAGGGAATTTAAAAAAAACCTTTGAAACCAATTTTTTTAATACACGAAAGTAAAGCAAAACATACGCTTACATGTAAATAGCCTGTTACATTCAATTGTCAATAGCCATGAGCAATTACTTGTAGCATCCACAAATGCCAACACTTTAAAAACAATGTACAATAACCTATTCCAGAGGGTCATCAGCATGAAGAAGTAACCAATTGTACTGTAAATTTTAAGAAAAATGAATAAATAAATTTATCTATTACATTTTAACGTGAAAAATTAGCAACATAAGAATATTTAAAACTAACAAGGGAGCAAAAATTTTCATTGTCGAGAGACTGACTAACTCAACTGAAGATCTGGGGCAAGAATCACTGTAAAGTTCCGATTTTTCCCCGTAATTAGAACAAGTCACAAGTGATTAATTGTGTTAAGGGTTGATAGGCAAGTCTATACGAAATTATAGGTAACCAGTTGCTCTACGCGTGTAGAAATTCAACAAAGGAGCTGCGTTAACACGTCCCATCTACCATCAGGTCCAATTATTCTCAATTTCGAGACAGAGGAATGAGTAAAGAGGAAAAAAAAAACAAAGAATTCTTACGTTCGAAATCCATTCTTCGCGTTTATACTGGCTCACTAGTTTCTTCAGTTTTGATTCTATTTCATCTAACATTTCCGAAAATGACTTCAAGCTAATTCCATCGACACCACGAAACCGAACGTCGACATCTACGGGAATGCATTGAATTATGTAAGAAATCCATAAACTATGGTCAATTTCGAGCATTACTTACAGTGTTTTAGAATTAATTTCAGTTTTATGGCATAAAATTGTTCTCTAGAATTACAATAACGAATAATTCTTAGGGCCAGGTTTAAGATGGCGCCCATTAACTCCGTGACGGAATTCAAGCGATATTTCAAAGGATCCCAAAAGCATCTCTGTAATCTCAAGTGCACGTCCAGCGACATGTCGATTATTTCCATTATAATCCCCCTGAAGCGGTATCTATCTTTTGATACCATCTATCGAAGAAGAAGTAGAGGAAACATCAGACAAGATACAGAAATTTATGAAGGAAAACACTTATTATTACTTTAACGTTTTCACTTAATCTTTGAAAATCGGCAGACGAAGAAAGCCAGTTATGAAAATCACGTTCACAGCTAGGAAATTCCTTCCTTAGAAGATTAAATCTGATTCTTTCATCGGTTTCTATACCCTAAGAAAAGAATGGACTTTAAAAAAGAAAAGTAGAAAAGAGAGAGTTTATTTCACGAATTAAAATTAATTTAAATTAATTAAAACCATGTCGAAATTTTACCTGGAATCGTGCATTTATTCTTGATTCTAATGCATTGTTGTAATCATCTATATCATCTGCAAAACAGACAAAATAAATAAAAATTAAGATTAGTATCACCGGAAACTAAACCACACAGTGACATCATTTCCTGTTTAGAACATTACCACTTCCGAAAAATTCTAGGAATTTTTCGGAAATTCCAAAAAAATCTAGGAGTAAGACATATTTCCGTTGGATGTTTCGTCAGGTTTTGACGAATAAAAAAAAATTTACCATTGTTATATCTTGTATTCGAGGACAATGGCAGACTACTCGAAGAGCAAACGCAGTAAAGAATTGAGGAGGAGAAAATATTTTCTCTCTCATATGTTTATATATATAAAATGCCCAGTCTGGAGAAGGCAATGTGTTCGGCTAATGGGGACTGAGCACTAAAAAAAGAAAAAAAAAAAGACAAATTCCGTTATGAGAGAATGAAAATCATACAGGAACACAAACACGGAAATACAGGATCATCGGTTTCTGAGGAACCATTAAATCAGAAGCCTCTATTTCCATCTTAACTGTGTTCCTGTACTGTTCTCTCAAGCAATTTTGTTGTTTACAAGTCGACCCCCCTATAACACTGTTGATTATTCCGTTTTATATGAATTCCATGTTGTACGAGTCACTTAAATTTTACAAATACATGAGCCGTTCACAGCCTGGCACACGTATTCGTAAAATCTAAGTCACATCCATTTCGATTCTGTAACATTGGTCGAGTCGACAATATTCACAACGTCGAATATCTTCGTTGGTATAACAGATACCGGTGCCGAAATAACAAACTGGATCGTAGAAGATTCTTACAGAATCCCTAAAAAACGTCTTACACGCTTCACAGGCAATCTCTCTTGGGTTTGGTACTGTACTTCCTGCATACATACCGAACATACCATGATAGATGCGCTTTCAGAAAGAGTACTACCAGAACTCGTTGTTGGTTCGCTTTCGGCTGGGAAGAAATAAATAAATAAATTATTTAACAATGAAGATTTTCGTGGTCAAATTACAGCATACTTACAACTGTCAATTGTTATAACTTCGATTTCTGAACCCGCTTCCATAATTAAAAAAAAAAGATCAAGGTAATTTACAAAATGCCTTACATTCTTGACAAAGTTACAGCATACTTACAACTGTCAATTGTTATAACTTCGATTCCCGAATTATCTTCCATAATTAAAAATATAAATAAAAACTCCTCCTGATACGTTTGAGGTGATGTAAAACATCATCTTTTCCACCTTTATAGAAGTTCTCTTCGAGGTTTATGCCACTGCACCAATATGCAAATTTTGTCATCTTCATATTTATTAATTTCAATATAAATTATTATTATTATTTCCTCAATAATTTTTAGAAATTTTAATTGCTAATTTAGATAATTAAATCGGTGTCATTTTGTTTCACGTGGCTATTTCCATTCCGAATTGCAATTCGGATCGTTACGCGGCACAAACATTAAATAAAGTTACGTATTGTAAATTCTGTGAGCTAGGTTTTTTTACACTAGACCCCCTAACACTTTTGATAATTCCGTTTTATATGAATTCCATGTTGTACGAGTCACTTAGATTTTACAAATACGTGTGCCGGGCCGTGAACGGCAGACGTATTTGTAAAATCTAAGTGACTCGTTTTTGTTGCACCTCCTTAACAATGAAAATGTTAAGAAGGTGCAACAAAAACGTTGTAGATATTAACTGGAGTCTCGCTCAATTCGAAGTTTATTTATTTATTTTATTTACTTAGCGTATGGCTACACATCCAATTGATAAAAAGAACAGGAAGCAGAAAAAGAAAGAACACAAATCATAAATGTAAATCTGAGTTAGAAATACAGTAGACCCCTATAAAACGGGTTCCTATAATTACGATTCCTATAAAACTGAGAAAAAATTGCGACGGTATCCGTAAAAAACGGTAAAACTCCTATAATTACGTAAAACGTTATCGGGCAGCCGAACTATTTTCCGCCGCCAAGTGCCACGCTACGGAGAGATTACTATCGTCTGTAGAGTATTATATATAAATTAGGTACTGTACATATAATTATATATTAATTATATATAAATTAGGTATTGTATATATAATTATATATTAACTTAATTTATTGTAACTTTATTATAATTATATATATTTTCTCCGCCGCGAGGCGCCACGCTACGGAGATTTTACGCTAACTATCGTCTGTACAGTATGTAAATTAGGTACCGTAAGTCTAATACAGTACTGTAATTTTATACATTTCTTGTGAAAGAAACATTTCTTATTCAACGGCGATAAAAATTATTTATATTAATGATGTCTCCAAAGTTCAACGAAGTTTTCGCAGAAAAATAACATCAGAAATCGCGGCCGCGGTTTGCTGAGCTGTTCCGCGACGAAAACAAGCTTGAGCAATGGCGATGTCGAATGGTGCACACTCGGTAAGTAATCCTACAATTTTTTGTTTATAGCGTAGTTTATACAGATTATTTCCAAAAATATATACGTATTTTGGAAATGTTGAGTTGGATTAGTCTAGAATCGATTAATTTTATGGAAGAAAGTCTTTCAATCAGCCGTAGTCCGTAAACTTCACACGTGTTGGGCTGTGATTGGAAGGACTCGTAAGAAATCGGATTCCTAAAGAATGGAACGTATCTATGATCTTATAGGGGGTCGACTGTTTAAAGCACTTCAGTCACAATCAGGAAGTCACTCAGTTGTCCCGGAAAAGATCTTACTGGACAATCTTCCAAGATATGATGTATAGTCTGTTTTTCAGCACCACAGTCACACTGTGGGGATGCAACTTTTCCCCACCTAAAAAGACTGTCCCTGCACAACCCATGTTTGGTCCGAATCCTATTTAACACACTTCAAAGATTTCTGGATAACTCAAATCCAGGTGGTCGCTTTGTGATACAAGGAAGTTGTCGACTGTCCATCGGAGAGACATCAGCCCAGAGCCTTTTTCAAGATTCAGTGAGGTTAAAATTATTGGAATACAGGGAATACAGCTCTTATCAGATGGGGTGTCTTGATTTAAGTTGATTTATGCTGAGGTCATCAATATCCTGATGGATCGGGAGTTGTGGATTAGACAATATTTTCCCACATTCCTTGAGCAGAGTGCTCTCCCTTCGGAATTCGAAGTATTCATCTATATATTTGAGGGGAGAGAAAAATGGTTAAAAGGTTCACATATTTAATGTATAAGAAATGAAAAATTGAAAATATTTAAATATATATTGCTAAAGTAATGTCGAGGTATTAAAAATCGATCGAAGCCTTGAGGCAAGAATACGTTAACGGAGTTTCTGGACAAAGTAATCACTGTAAATTTCTGAATTTGCCTCGTAATTAGGACAGATCACGAGTGATTAACTGTACTAGAAGATGTATACAAAAAATTACAGGAAAGTTGATTTCCTGACTGGTCACTTACGCGTGTAGAAATTTAACAAACAGAGTTAAGGTATTTTTGCCTTAAGGCAGGCCTTCAACTATTCTCTACTTCCAGGCAAGAGAGAAGAAAGAGCAAGCAAAAATACAAAAGAATTTTTACTTTCGAAAGCCATTGTTGACGTTTGTATTGGCATAACACTTTTTTCATACTTATCTCTATCAAATTTAACATCCTCGCGTATGAGGCAACGTCATCTTCGTCTACACTGTCAACGTCGACATCTACGTGGAACGAATAAAACTTTTTAAGAGCGTAAAAAAACAATGGAAAACCTCGAGAATTACCTACAGTCTTTCAGAATTAATTTCAGTTTCATCCCGTAAAATTCTTCACTATAAAAACGACGACGCATAAATCTCAGCGTCAGAAGTAAGATGCCGCCCATTAACTCTGTAATGGGATTGAAGCTGTGAATCCAAGGATCCCAATAGAATTTATCGAATTTAAGTACCATGTGCGCCTCCATCGATCGTTCGACTATTTCCATAATAATTCCTCTGAGGTGGTACCTGACTTTCGATATGATCTGTCGAAGTAGAGAAAACACAAGATGCAAATGTCCGAAAATTTAAGAGAAAATTATATATTTCTGGAGGAAAAAAGTTATTACTTGAACGTTTACACGACTTGAGAAATTTACATTACATAATATGCTTTAAAATTTACATTTAAAATTCCTTCATTTTTACCTTTGCGGCTGTTACGTATAACAGAGTGAAAGCATGGCGATCGGTCAAAAATAATTCACGTAGATTTAAAAATTTTTGGACTTAGGACACCTTAAAGGGTCGAGAAATGCAGAAAATTGGGTTTTTTTTCCTGTATGTATGGATGTTAGTGTGTGCGTGTGTGGGGGGGGGCACAATTTTGTTAACCCACTTTGAAGCTTAATAACTAATTTGATTTTTGTCGAAAATTTCTGAAATTTTGCAGGGAGGTTTCTATATTAGGGGATTGATACTATTAAATTTTGATGGTTAAAGGTCGAGGAAGTGAGAAGATAAAGGGGTGGGGTCGTGAAATTTGTTTGAAACGTTAGAAATAAGCTTTTATTTATAATATAGTTAATTTCTTGACGTGATAATAAACGGTCATACGTGTAAAAATGTCTCACCAGTGGCCTAGCGGATAAAACCACCGAATACTATTATGTGGTTGTGTTTTCCTGCCTGGCCAAGTGTAGTTTTTCGGGTTTTCTCTGTGTTTATAACACGTACATAGGAGGAAATTTTCCTTAAAAAGTCCTTGCAGTAGGCGTCCCCTTTGGTAGATCGGATAGGCCTATGCGTTCTCGTATACAAATTATCCAATTCAATAAAATGCCAATAACGAGTTGCTTGACTTTACCGGCGACATTTGGTGGCGCAATGTATTATGAAATTTTATTTTAAAACTTTTTATATCTTTAATTTATAAAATGGCAAAAGGCTTAATTTTGAGGAGAGGGACATGCTTTATAAAAAAAATTGTAAATGTTAATAACCAGTAAAATCGTCATTAAGTCCGATTTTACTGGAGATTACACACGACCCCCTTAATCTCCCCACCCCTCGACCTTTAATCACTAGCGTCGATCCCTCCTAGTACTTTCACCTCCCTGCATAATTTCAGAATTCTTCGACCAAAATCACAGAAGTAATTAAGTTTCAAAGAGGGTGAACAAGATCGTGCGCCCACACACACTAACACACACAAATACAGAAATTACTCCTGAATTTTTTGCATTGCAGTTTGTATTTTGTTTCCTTTGAACTGGCCCTCTGTTTTTAATATTTTTTTCTTATTTTCGATTCACGTTGGATGATTTGCCACGTTAAAAATTTCCGCTTGTCTCTCCTACAATTCTGCAACCATCTTTATCAGTAGAAAACCAGAGTCTTATCCCCTGTCACGACGTGCTTTTAGTTAGCCTAAGCAAAGTATTCCACCGGTTATAATTAAAAATATGCAATGTATATTCTTCACTTATCTTATTACAGATCGACAATTTAAGACCCAAGATGGCGCGTACGAAATGCATCACGATCTTTATTGTCTCACCTGAAACAGGTGAACAATAAAGAAAGATTGTTTTTTCTGAATAAGTTTCCTCAATTTGCATAACACGGAAACCAGTATAATAAGTCGTAATAATACCATATGTGCTAGTAGACAGCTGGAGTTAGCCTATCTGTTCGTAAATGCATCGAATAATGGCTTTGGTGTGATTAAATACATTTAATTCTTTTAATTCAAAGACAATCTTTACGTTGTTTTCACCATAAACAATTGAAAACCCAATTTCCATTACAATACCGTAAACTTGTTTAACAGAAAACCTTTCGATACTTTTTAGTAGTTTTAAAAAATTAGAGAGAAAAATCGTTCAAACACAATTTTAAAAATGAATTAAATATTTTTTCTAGCGCCATTTTGGCTACGTGTTAAACGTCACGCACTATACTCGATACTATGTGTTTTTTTTAAATACATGTCACGTCACACAACACGTTTACAATTCTAAAATATCACGATTATAATATAAATTATATAAATTGTAATGATGATAATATTGCAAATACACCTGTTTCAGGCTTATACATTAGAAAGTTTGCGGTCGAAGTTTTCATCTGTAAAACGTGAACGTGGAACGTAGAACGCCGCTTACAAGATAGCGGCGCTCGACGTTTGTCGTTCACGTTTTTTAAAGATGAAAACTTCGGCCGCAACCTCTCTTTTTACGTTTGTTTTCCGTCGCCTGTCATTGGTAAATCTCGAGAATAGAATTAGAGACCGATATGGTCTGGAAAAATAACGTAACTTCCGGTCCACATCGGGAAGTTCGTAGATCGGGACTTTCGGCCTCTACGTTCTCCATATCTGGTCTTGATTTTCATCTGTTTAACACCGTTTTCGAGATTAAGAAAAGACAGACAGAAGAATAACGACAGTGGGAATTGAATTTAAATCTAGAAGTTTTAAAAATTGTAGCCCAATAACAATTGGTATTACAGGCTTCTACATGTAAACACCAGCTGCGCGTGTTTAAACACGCGCAGCTGGTGTTTTCGTGTAAAAGCGTATATAAAAGAATTTGCGTGCGCATACACACATAAAGCCTTGAACAGCTTGAACAACGCATAGAAGTTTATAACAAGGTAATTTATCTGTTTTATTCTTCTTGACCATTTAATATGGGGTGAAGAATAGAACAATAGTAAACTATAGTTCTGTTCTATTTGGCAATGCGAAAAAAAGTCAAATTTTTTCCCTTCTCTCATTGTTTTGAATTTCTTAAAATTTGAACACTACAAGAGCCGAAAAATATAAAACACTCGTTACAATATTGTGTGTATGTGTGAGGGGTGACCATTGCAACGGGTGTTAACTGTTGTTTTTGCCTGTTAACTTGCACTGTTTGTAAATGGCAATGCGGCTTCAATAGTTGTAAGTTATGTTTTGTATCCTGCCATGTTTACGCTTGTACGCCGACGGCATTCGGTAACTGTTTCTCTTACGTGTAATCGGTATTTGTATACGCTCGGTAATCTCTCCCATTAATGTTTGACAGGGCGGTTTGTATATTTTCGGTCCCGGGATCATGCTAAATTTACTATCCGCTCCTGAATAGTCTATTATAACTGTTGTAGTAACTTGGCATCCAGCTCTATAACTACACCTTCTGTAAAGGGTAGACAAAACCCTCGCGGTACACAACCTGTATAATGTCTGGCTTTATATAACTGTCGCGATCGAACGTTATATCGTAATGGCACCTTACGGTAAATGTAACGTGCTATTTGTTATTTGTTATCGCACCCCATTGCCTACGTATCCCCACTCCTAAACATCATATTGTATTAGTCATTATATTCAACATTTGTATTGTTCTGTTATCACAAATCTTGTACAAAGTAATGCGCCATGGCTCTTTGTACAGTACTCTTATTCTCTCTGTATCCTGTACATGTATTTATTATTTCATTCATAATGGGAGCATTGCAGGTGCTCATGATCTCTCCTATCTTCATCTTTCCTATCACACTTTCATCCCTCCCCTTCTTCTCCTTTCTCAGAGTAGTCCTGGTGTTCCACCTCTTTCATGTTAAATAAATATATATACAGTGCATGTTAATTAAATTTCGGTAGTTACAGGTCAAGAAAGCGGGGAGTTTGAGGATTCTTATAGTATAAAATTTATTTTTTAAGGTGTTTTCTTATAGGTTATCGGCACACTCCACACCGTCACGTTATAATATACAGTATATATTTAATTAACCCGTCAACATTGAAACCTAATGAGTACATCGATGAACGTGAAGCTTATTCTGGTGTTATTCACATTTATGGCTGCTTTACTTGACATCAATTGTATAATTCCTCAAACACCCGAGGAAGCGTGTGTACATCTTGACACAAACTTGAAAAACTACTGTAGTAAGTATTAACAACACTAACTTTTTAAACGTGAACGTCGAACGTCGAGCGCCGCTTACAAGATAGCGGCGCTCGACGTTCGACGTTCACGTTTGAGAGATGAAAACTTCGGCCGCAATCTCGCTAATATCTTCTTTATTTTAAATTAGAATTGGATTTAACGAAACAAAAGGACATTCGCTCTTGCTTTGTTGAAAATGGTATTCAAATGGTAGGTTTTTAATTAAATATTTACAAGTTTTAATTTTAAAATCAATTCTCCAGACAATAATTTCTTATTATTTTAATACACAGAACTTGGAATTCGCTAAAATCTGTGTTAACAAACAGAAACACTTGCAAACGTTGGGAGAGATAAGTGATTACATTTGCTGTATTCTAGAGAAAGATCCGGAAGTAATTCATTTGTGTTTTTAAATAATGTGTTAATTATTATTTATTTCATAAATTAATAGCATTTTTAACATTTATAGAAATATAAAGAACTTGTCTGTTGCTACAGTTCGCTTGAACTTTCTTGCAGTAAAATCAATCCGGCCATGTATTCGACTATCGATGTAAGTACTGCGCGTTTAAATTTATTTATATAATATTATTAGTTATTATAATAAATAAATTATATGAAGACGGTTTAATTACGAGAGAGAGATTCAGCAGAAAACCGGAAAAAAAGCAATTAAAAATCCATGCTTGAAGCTAAAATATCTACGATTGGCAACATTGTCGACAGGCGAAAACATATGGTAAACAGTGGATAAAATGGCGGCGACATTCAGTCTTGTAGAATATTCCACAGAACTGCGGTTGCTTTTGCACCATAGAACTTCATTTGTATGTCATGTTCAATTGGTTTTTGCCAAAAATCAGACAACAGTGTACCGCTTTTCTTTCGTACACTGCTGGAAGGGCGCCGCCATTTTATGGCCACGTGGTTTGTGTTCTGTTGTATCAACAGTGTTGCCAGTTGCAGTTTCTGTTGCCTCTAGTTTTACTCGTTATTAGCTTTTGCTGGTAAATTTATGCAACCCGTTGCTGGAACTTTTTAGAATTAAAATGGACCTTTCGGGAGTTTGGGAACGGATTAATTCACTTTACATTTTTTTTATGAGAAAAATTGCTTCGGAATTCGATCTCCCTGTTGGATTGGTTTGATTTTATACGGCGACGCGACACGTGAGCGATTTGTTTTGGTAAAATGGTCCCTAATAAGGTGTTACTAACGTCAAGTAAATTCGAAAAACTACACGTGGACAGTGGGTTCCAGCCTAGCCCATTGGCTAGGCTGGAACCCACTACCATCTTCCAATGTTTAGTGGTTTTGTCCACTCTCCCACTGGTGGGTCACTCCTCTAGAAACGAATACAATTCGAGTTTCCATGTGCCACTATACAAATAACTTAGATAATAGTTTTTCTGCATATTTTCAGCACGTAGTTATCAATATTTTTAAAAATCTTTGAATTTCATATTATCTTATGTGTAATTTATTTCAATTGTTATTATTGTTGTCTTTTTCAGGCATGCCTGTATCCAGCGGTAGTAAAATGTTAAAAAAAAAAAAGTGAATTTCTTCAATCTGCAAAGGGTTTAGAACCCACAAGAAACATTTAATTGTTAATTTCGTCTTATTAAGAATTAAATTTCTACTAAAATTTTCGTAAATTTTGTATTCTATTTAATTAAAACGCTGTGTTAAAATATTGAACAGTACGTGATTACTGCTTATTTCTATTGTAATATTCTCACTTATTGGTGAATTGTTATTTGTAATGATAAATTAATAAATTGAACATCTTCCTCTCGTCCTTTTCTTTGTATTTATTAGAATTAACGCGAACACACAAAGACTTTATAGACTTTATTAACGAACGCGAGAAAACAGCAATGGATTTTGCTTGTATCAAACGTGCTTTGGTAAGAATGCAAAGAAGAATATTTAAATTTTACTTCAATCAAATTCAGCAATGCTGAGGGCTGTGAGTGTTTTTTCGTGTGTTTAATTATTGGTGGAATTGATTTGTTGTACTCTAGAGGGAAAAATTAAGAAGCGTATTGTAATATTTGCCACCAACGAGGAAGAACAGTAGATTGCCTTATTCCGTTGATAGAAAGACCTTTCGCCTGGAAAAATATCGTAATCTACTGCAAAGTGTGTTACAATACAGCATTCGCTTCCAGATGCGACAAATGTGGCCAAATATTTGGAGCCGGTAAAGGAACATTTGGGTATTCTCGTAATTTAAAGTTTAATTTTTCGGTACAGAAATGTTAACGTACCGAGACAAGCAATGGCACAAAGAGTGCAGTTGTCTGCTCTGCCTCTGCTCGTAGGCAACGAAGGCTTCGTTGAAATAGGTAATGATAAGCATTGCAACAACTGTTACTAACAAAAGTTCGGTTCACCTTGCTTCGAGTGCCATCAAATTGTTACCACCCACCCACGGTGTTATTTATGGAAACGTAGCCAACGTTTCTGTTGCAGCACGTGTCTGGTGTGTTTAGAGTGTCGGCAATTCGCACCATAGTGGAGTTTGAAGCTGTTTGCATAATGTACGATGCTCTTTTTTTCATAGACTGTGTCCCCATTTTCAATATCTGCGAGTGCCGCTGCCCCTATACATCTATCGAGAGCATAAACTGGCATAACGATTGTTTCTTGTGTCCTGTGTGCAAGACACCACTCGTGAGAGTATACGATTCGTTACGGATGTAGCGGATATCTTGTGTCCAGGATGCGCTAAACGGAAAATAATAATGTGATACGTCATCCGTTAAACTCGTATAACAAAATTTAAGTGAATTGTTTGGACACAATAAAAATAATTTAATCCATCAACTTCATTTCGTTATGGCAATGGTTACCAGGAGGAGTTTCTATGGGACCTGACCCTATTTAGATGTTACAAATGTGCAGAAAATCGAAAAAATCGCATTAGAGTTTTCATTTTAAATAAAATAAAACTCATCCCTATCCTCAAAATTAAGGTTTTTGCCATTTTATGATAACTAATAATATAAAAGTTACTTTTTTTAAAAGAAAATCTCAACAGACGGTGCCACAATAAGACTTGTTCGCAAGAGCCAGCCATTTTTAACTAAAGTGAAACCGCGCTAATCTGATCTAATTGATACCAGTGGTGGTTCGGAAGATTAATGAAAAGTTCGGATTAACGGGGTATGCATACAGTGTTTACATTCTGAATCATCTTTTTACTGTTTTATTATACTTTACAGCAGCAAGTAGAGATTATAGTCCTTCAGCCAAACAGGGTCTTAGAAAGAACAAGCAGGAAGCTCACAACATCCAGCCAGAATCTCCATATTAGAGAAGAAGAAGAAGAAGAAGAAGAAGAAGCTCACAACACGTGACTTACGTTTACACGTGAGTTGCAAATATACAGTTGACAAGTCTATTATTTTAGACAGATGGTTGAATCTGTTCGGATTACAAAATGTTCGGAAGAACACGATTCGGATTAGCGCGATCGTACTGTAATCCCAGAATTTGCTAAAGAGATATAACAAGAATGGAACTAAGTAGAAAATTTGAAGCATATGCTTTGGAAACAATTTATTTTAAAATACGTATTGCATTCCTACAATTAATATATAAAGAAAGATGAATTTCATGGGCCCGGATCCTCATTGCAATAATAGTCCTTTCCATTGCTGCTGAGACATACTTCTCCATAAAAACAACAATCTCTTTCCGTATTGCATGGTTTACGGAAACAGTCGCTTCTACGTAAAAATAATTCAGATAATAAGTCTATATTATTTTTATTACTTAATTATTATTAAACTACTAGATCAGGTGTAAGGATAATTATATACGTGTGACTTTTTATGTAAGATTATGTACAGTACTTATAATAATAGATCCTACCCAACACAGTTTTACATCGAAATTTGCTCTATTGCCTATACATTCTAAATCCCGAGAAGGATTCATCCGTTCGCGCTTGATACTCGGACAGACACGCACACAGACGTCAATTAGTAAGTGGCTCGTATCCTTCCAACGACTATCCCGAATATGTGTACAGAATTTCGTAGAAATTGGATACTCGAACAGAAGAAGACAGACATGAAGGATGTACAAGCATCATTGCTTATAGAGTTGTTGCTCATTTTAATCAATTCTAACAATTAATTATAGCTTAAACCACTGGTTTCTCAATCCTTAATGCCGAAATCTGGTTTACTTTGACGTATAGGTGACAAGTCAGCTACCCAATAATTTAATTAAACCTTAAAAAATTAGATGCTAGCGAGATAGCGGTCGAAGTTTTCATCTTTAAAACGTGAACGTAGAACGTCGAGCACCGCTTACAAGATAGAGGCGCTCGACGTTCGACGTTCACGTTTTACAGATGAAAACTTCGGCCGCAACCTCTCTATTATTAAACCTTTCTAAACCCCTAGAAGCTTAGAGGTGTGTCAGATTTAGAAACCATTGGTTTTAAGCTTATACTTGGCTACATATTTAAGAAATTTAATTATGGGAAAACTTACCGTGCTTGTTCGCCTGAAAATTTAAAAGGAAAATAGTTAAATAATTAATGAATTACTAAATAAGTTTTTATATTTCAAAGAGTTAAATTAACTTGCCAACAATTCCGGCAAAACTACACACTCCACTTGCGAGCAGCACCCCTAAAATGATGATAAATCGGAGATTCATCATGAAATTCTAGAATTCTGATGAAGGTTTTCACTTATATATTATTCATTTCAAACTTTTATTACGCTAAATAAAAATTAATGTTTATAGTTAGATTATGGTTTAATAATTACCCACCTGTTTTATAGAATTAAACTTTATATTGTCTAGTCAGATATGCTCCATTATCATTTTATATATGTACAATATATTGTATACAGTATTGTACTAACTGCCGGATTTACAGTAAACAGTTTTGACTGGTCGCTAAAGAACAATATAAAGTTTAATTATATAAAACAGATGGGTAAAACGAATTACCAGACCTTAGATTATGGATCAATAATTCCAAATTTTATTATTTGATATTATTAAACCATAATTTTTCAGGCGAACAAGCACGGTAAGTTTTTCTATACAGTAATTAAATTTCTTAAATATGTAGTCAAGTACAAGCTTAAAACCAATGGTTTCTAAATCTGACACACCTCTAAGCTTCTAGGGGTTTAGAAAGGTTTAATAATAGAGAAGTTGCGGCCGAAGTTTTCATCTGTAAAACGTGAACGTCGAACGTCGAGCGCCGCTTACAAGATAGCGGCGCTCGACGTTCGGCGTTCACGTTTGAGAGATGAAAACTTCGGCCGCAACCTCGCTATTAAGAACAAGTAATGGATCAAGAAGTATATGAAAAATAATCTAAACGATTTACACAATTCATTTAAGCAAGTTAAAACACTAAGAATACATGCATATTTTGACTTTTATACATATAGATAAATGTTTTATTATAACCAAAATATATC